CTTGTATGACGGTGTCATCGTCGTCGAGTCTTATTGCTGAGAGAGGAAGCTGAAGAGTACCTGCTATACACTTGGTAGTGTGCTGACTCATTTAGCACACAACAATGCATGTGACATAGGTTGCAGCCATTTCTGGGGAAGGGGGTGGTGGTAGGACCAGTTTCTCTATGTTTTTGGAGTGTTAAAACCGCTGGCGTGCTGAAAAATTCAACACGCGATATTAACGGCGTTGCGGACCACCCTCGTAATTTTGTGCAAAATTGACAGGTTCAGAAACTACCAATCAAAAGTGAGCTAATTTGTATATGGACGGGGCGTGGGAAGAACGTTACATTTGCCAAATATTAAATTGTAGAAAGTAAGAAGTAGCAAAGTATCACTAATGCGGTGTTTTTTTAAAGAGGTAAACATATAGTGAATTAGGACACAAAGAAAAGACAAATGATACCATAGGAAGATAGTATAAATGTAGCTTCCTGTAGTTGAAACACCCATAGTCAACGAAATTAAAAGAGTCAAAAAGGTTTAAAATCGTACAATCCTTGAAGAGAGAAGGACGAAGAGTGATATAAAACAGGTAGGCCATGTCATCAGTTGAGAATAGAGAGAGAGATAGAGAGAGGGCGTGACGTCAGCCCAGAAGAGGTGGATGCATGTAACAAAGGATAGAGGTGACTCCAGGTGAGAAGAGATGAAGACATAAAAGACAGGGAGCCCTAACACCAGCTAAGAAGAGGTTAAGATATATAAGTCAGATTGGACGTTACGTCAGCTGATAGGAGATCGAGACAAAAAGGAAAAGACAGAGAGGACGAGACGTCAGCTGAGAAGAAATAAAGTCATAAAAGACATAGAGGACGTGATGTCAGCTCAGAAGAGAAGGAGACCTAAAAGACAGGGAGGTCGTTACGCCAGCTGAGAAAAGATGTAGACATAAAAGAGAGGGAGGTAGTTACACCAGCTGATAAGAGGTTAAGATATATAAGACAGGTTGGAGCTGACGCAAGCTGAAAAATGGAGATGTACATTACAGGTTGGACAAGACATCAGTTGAGAAGAGACGGAGATAAGAGAGGTTGGACAAGACATTCGCTGAGAAAGCGGGCAGTTGTATTTAGATTAGTAGGCCGTGACTTTAGCTAAGGAGAAAAGGAGATATAAAAGATACGTCAGTGGAGAAGAGATGGAAATATCAAAAACAGGGAGGACAAAGCATCCGCTGAGAAGAGAGGGAGATGTAATTGGGCTATCCTCCGAATAACGGTCCTGAATTATCTACGCAGAAAATAATCCCTAACAGGGCCCCAGTCATGAAAATAGTCAACGATGACACCAACAGACACTTCAATATTGTTTTCATCATTTTCCACATCAATGCTTCATCTGATATAATATACAAATACACAAACAGCCAGATGATTAGGTACTGCATCCATAAGCCAACATTGTGAAAGACTCATTAAATCGAGCTTACCTACAGCAAGAACATTTCAGTAACATATTTACTTATCGACTTTGTGCTAGACAGCAAGGTTTTTGACAGGAAGGGAGCCATAATAAAGAGAAGTCATCTTAAAAAAAAAAGCAGATAGAGAGGACCTGCAGAATATGGCGTCAACTGAGAAGAAGGGAAAGAACCATGAGGTTGTAGGCGAGTTAGCTCAGGGTCCATGTTTCTTCTCGTTACCCTCGCCTTGAGAAAATGAGAACTATTTGTCTTAAAGCTTTTTAAATTTTCATCTTAGAATTGTTTTCGTACATCTTTCTGTGTCTTCCCATGCATCTCTTGTCTTGTATTAACAAGTAATATGCAACTTCACTATCTCAGCTCTTTTTTTTTTTCAAGTACCCAACATTTTCATTTGTTTTATCCTTCAGCTTGTGGAAACAAAATAATAATAACAATCTTCTAACATCACACCTTCAGTATGGCAACATTTGTTGTATTCTGTCTTTACGATATCCCCGGTTGGTGTGTCTGCCTGAGTGTTTTTCTGTCTTTCAATTTGTCTGATCGTCTTTTTTGGTTAGTTAGTTAGTTAGTTAGTTAGTTGGGTTATCCTCATTGCACTCCGGACATGTCCATAGGTGCTCAGATCCTCCCCTCAGTATGAAACCCAACGTCCGATGGCTAATAGTACCAGTTCTATGTTGATTAACAAGTCTTTTTTCTTTTCCCTCAACACTGTCTCTAGCATTTGCCTTCTCACTCCAAAGACGCATTTCACTCCCCGACTCTTCTCTCTACTATTGTCTCGCTCTCTCTCTCTCTCTCTCTCTCTCTCTCTCTCTCTCTCTCTCTCTCTTTCTCTTGCTGTTTTATTCTCTGTATTCTTGACTCCCCTCTCTTCTCCTTCTCCATTTTATACCTACTATTCAATCGATCTCTTATCTTCTCTGCTCTTCTCATTCTTCTCTCTGTCCTTTATTGTCCTCTCTCGTCTCTTACCTCTCTAACTCTCTCTTGGTCTTCTCATTCACTGCCAAATCAAGCTGGGAGCGTGCATGAAGAAGACCCTTGTTATTTCCTCTATCCATAATCTACATACCACCGCCTCCCTGAGTCCTCATGTTGTATGTACAAGTGCTATTCAGAAGTGAACCTTTAATAGACTGGTTAAAAAATGAATATGTTTGCCATCGTAACACCGTTCATTGCTGGCGTCATTCACGAATAGAGAAAGAATCAACATAGAAACTGTCATTGCCTGCCCCCCTAACCGGTGAAAGTCTTTGGGTGATTTGTTTTCCTTAAGCAGAACATCATAATGCTCCCCCCTGACGTCGCTTCTGCTTCTTCTTCAACGACACTGCCTATATTTATTCGTTTATAGTTTGTTAATCACTGAGCAAATGCGAGTGGAGGTTGGTGTGTAGGGAGCTAGAAGACGGCTGACGATGCAAACGATAAACTGTGTTGCAAACACAAGTCGTTGATTTTGAAATAACCCGTGTTCATTATTGCTCGTTAGGGCAGTCTGTCTGTTAGCAGTCGAGTTTCTGTAGAGCAGCGAATTTAAACCTGTGGATCTCAACATATTTGGGGTCTAACGACCCTTTGTCACGGGTGGTCATTGGAAAACATATTTACTGAAGTTATAAAAAAATGAAAATAAATTGATGGTTGAGGCTCACCCCAACATGAGAAAGTACATTAAAAGATCGCAGCCTTAGAAAGGATGAGAATCACTAATTGGAAGATTCATTCAACTTACATACTGACATACCCACATATATACATACACTCATAAATACCTACATACACATACATATAAACCTACATACATAAATACACACAAACATACATGCACATACATACAAACATACATACAAACATACAAACATACATACAA